TCTCCAGCAGCCAGGAATCAAAGCAGGGCAGGATCGGAGCCATCTGGCACTGCAGACCTGGGCAGGCGGGTGCCCCCCAGGACTGCCCAGTGGCTCCCAGTCTCCGTGCACCAGGCTAGGACTGGGCCCAGTTCATGCTGCTTCTCCCCCACCCGCCCCGGTGCCTCTCACCAGATGAGCTGAGCCCCTCCAGCCACCCGTGAGACCAGCAGCCACTCTCCCTGCTAGTAGAGAGACACCCCCCGCCCCGGGTCTCTTGAAGGGGGCTTTAATATCCCCGCCACAAAAGATCGGAGCACCGGGGAACAGGGGCCAGGAGAGCTGAGACCCCAGGGCAGGGGGTGGGGTCCCTGCCCCCCCTGTGCTATAAACCCCCAGAGGCAGAGGCGTTTCTATCCAGGCAGTGCCGAGACCATTGGCTTCATGGATTCTTATCATCTCCTGGGTTCCTGCTGCTCTCTCCACCCCACACGTGTTAATGGGCCACTCTAAAGGCCTTGATGTTGGAGCCGGCCTTGCTTCTGCTCCCTGTTCCCCTTCCTGAGCAATGTCTCTTCTGGGAGGCTGTGGGCTCTTCACCCCTGGCCGGGCTCAAGGCAGCTGCTGGAGGGGTGATGGAGGCGCAGTGATGCCTGTGCTCTGCCGTGGGGATCCCCTGCATCTCTGGGCATTGCTGGTTGCTGCAAGGGGTTGGGAGGGATTTTCCCCCACCCTCCTTGCTGCTCCACCTGTCAGGGGGGTATTAGGGCTCGGGATGGGGCTGGGCTGTGCCAATGCTCCTGGCACCATCCCTGCAGGATCCTGGCTGGAGGGTCTTGCTCTTGCACTCAGGCTCAGCCCAGCACTGGGAAAGGAAGGGGTTTCCCCCCTGACAGACTGGTCCAGACTGGGGGGTTTTGCCCTCCTCTGCAGTGGGGGCACAGCCTGGACCTGGGGTCTCTCTGGTGTCTATGACCCCCCTGGTAGGACGTTGCCCCTCGTGGCACTCCTGCTTTCCCAGGGCAGGTCCAGAAGCGATGTCCGGTGCGGTGTCAGGGCTGGCGGTCGTGCTGCTCAGAGGTTCGATGCTGGATGTGTCTGGGCTGGTTTGGACGAGGCTGAACCTGCCTCGGGTCGGG